ACCCCCCCCCCATCCCTCCTCGGTGTTCATCCCCCCTCGGTGTTTGCCATCGGGGTTGGGTTTTCGTCGCTTGGCAACGACGCTGTAAAACAAGCCAATTCACTTCGTGAACTCGGCAACCAGGTTACCGGTTTTTTTTTACCTCCGGTTTTTTTTTGGCAGTAACCATAATGGTGGTCGAGTAGATGACGTTATGCGGGGTGGCGAACCCTCACTCCGCGTAAGGGGGATGATCGCACCACGTTGTGTTAAAATGGTCAAGCACCCTCGAGGCAGTTACACNCCTGGTCCGGTGAGAACCCGGCGTGCTCCGTCCCGGCTTTGTAGGGATGCGAGGTCAATGGTCAAACGACTACGGCATGCACGACTACTGTATGAGTACACCCCCCCCCTCAACCAAAAGGCGACTAGTGATATAGATAGACTAGAGAAGACATTTTTTGCGCCATCTTGGGCGGTGTAGGAAGGGACGATGGGCCATCGGCGATCGGTCCCGAGAGAACAACAATGCTCCGTTCTCTGGAGAGGACGCGTGGTCACTGGTCTATGTTACCGCTAAGGCATCCAATGAAACATAGAGTACCCCTTCCCCGTCCCCCTTTTCTGGTTCATCCTTGTGGAACATAGCCTGGCCCGGTGGAAACCCGGCGTGCTCCGTCCCAGCATTGTAGGGATGCGAGGTCAGTGGTCTAACGACTCCGGCATGAACAACTATGAGTACCCCCCCCCCTCCCCCCCCCGATTGGTCATCGGTGATCGGTCCTGTAGGAACAAGCTCCTTCCTTTTGAGGACGCGTGGTCTATGGTCTATCAGCTAAGGCGTGCAAAAAATGAGTTCACCCCCCCATCCACGCCCGTCCCGCAGGCCGTGGCGGCGGCGTCTGATTCCGCCGTAGCCGCAGCAGCAGCAGCGGCAGAGGCGGAAAGCGTCACCGCTGAGGCAGAAAGTGCGGCGGGACCCCCGCCGGTGGAGGCTTCTGCGGCCGCCCCCCCTGCCGGTGAGTAGAAACTTTCGCAGGCATTGTTGTGGTGGCTTGAGCTTTGCTACAATGAGGTATCAACGCTGCCCGCATCAAGGTAGAGTTTTCGACTAATACATCCTCGAGTTACGCACAAGGGCGTGGTATATAATCTGCCGGTGGGGAGGTATGTGGCTTTTGTGTGTAACGTCGAGAACGCCGCCGCTTGCGGGACTGCGAGACAGTAACTTCCGACTCAGAAATGCCGAAGCTGAAGATCTTGGCAAAGGGATCAATGTACCAAGATCATATGCATGGGTGCTTTAGGCGTTTGGGTTCAGAATCTATGTTGACATTGCGATTCGGCGCTCCGGCACTGTTCTCCATTACTTGTTTCAAGTTCTTCGTGTTTGTTGTGATGAAGGTAGTTACTCCGTGCTGTTACGGGCACCTACCCCTCTGTCGTTTGGGGGGGGCAGTGCAACTGTCGTCGGTAGATATTTGTCGGTTTCGTAGCCAGAGGCGTTGATTGGTTGACGGTTCGTGTGCTGGGCACATATCGTTGTGATTGCTGCGGACCGATATCACGAAAGGTTAAGACTAGGAATTTGTCGGTGCCAGACATGCCAATCGTTGGTAAGGAACGCGTTGCTCGATAGTCCCCCCTCCCCTCTATTTTGATCTCGCTTGAACGATTTGTCCTAAAATATGTGACACGTAGAACCTGTGGCAGCCGCCATGACGCCGGAACATATGGGCTGGGCTGCAACAGGCTTGACGTGTCCCACATAAACGAGCAGGTCGGTCAAGCGAGATTGCATTAGAGGGAGCAGGAATATGGAGCAATGTGTTCTTTCCGTATTGGTTCGGAGGTGTGGCGCTGACAAATTCCTTCGGCCAATGTGTGTGTTGAACTCTGCGCATAAGTCCTTTCTCATGCTTGTATTGTATTTTCTTGTGCGGCCGAACTGGCACCTACACATCAATTCCTTCGACCTTTTGTACGTTAATTGTATCCCCTGTCGCTACCTTATCTCTCGTGATACAGCAGTAACCCTGTTTCCCAAACAACAATAATTTACCCCGCAGTCGCGACACCTGCCACTAACCGGCACCTGCCTACAAGTTTATTCCTCCAACCTGTACAAGCTAGGCCAGACGAAAAGCTCACTTTCGTTCGTTCGAGTCTCATTCTGTCGTTTCCACGAGTTTGGGCTTGAATTTTTGTGGCTGCTCTCATGAGACATTAGGGAAACGCAGGTGCCAGAATATTTCGAATCCGAGTTGATTAAGGCACTGAACGATCATTTGGCGGCGTAGGGTGGGATACTTCCGGTACTGAAATCAGCATTGAAAAGTTACACCGAACAAGCTGAAACTTGGTGTGCACTTACCTGGGAGCGTTGCGAGAAAAAACGATGATTGTTTCAAGGCTCAAATCATCTTCTACCAAGAGATATGGTTTCGTGAAGATACAACACACAAGATACCAAGGAAGTGTGAGGTTATCGCAAATTACATCACGGTTTTTTCGAGTTGGAATCTGAAATTTTGAGGTGTGGTCGGCTGTAGTATCACGAAGACCTTGACCAGCCGCACCTGTCTATTTATTTTATTTTTAGTCCCTCTATACACAAGAGGACTGACATCTGTCCTTAAATAGGGCTACCTCGTGAAAAAATAATGAGTAAAAATAAAGTGCGGCTGGTCAAGGTCTTCGCTATGCTGGTGCCGACCACGTGCCAAAGGTTCTAATTCGTAAAAACCGTGGTGTAAATCGCTTTCAACCATTTTGTACGTTTCTTGGCTGGCCCAGCTTGTAAGTGATTTGTATGCGTACCCCCGTGGATAACCTGTTTCTCGTGATCCCTCTACTTGTATTACATCCAAACAAAAAAAACGCAGTTGCGGCCGAACCCGCACCTGCCACTCCCGAACCGGCACCTGCCGCCGTCGCCGAACCTACTCCCGCGCCGTCCACCTCCTACTCCATCAAGCCCGAGAAATCTAAGCGCAAGCCCATCCTCAGCCTCTTCAAGCGGGACACAGGGCCGCAACGGTCCACGACCATGCAGGAAGCCCTCTCCGACGAGGTGAGTTAAGGAGGCTGCGATCTACTTAAATGTTTTTTTTTTATGTCAGGAGTATACATCAGATAAAAGGAAGACAATCACCTGTCGGAGATATGACCACAGTCGAAGGGGATGGGTTGAATGAAGTTTTTGCTTTTGAGTGTGGGAAAATACTTGTGGATGCTGGGTTTATGCTGTTGCTCATCGCCTTTAAGTCAGCGCTCACGGTGTTTCTGCCGGGTAGAAAGGTGCTCCAATCCGTGATGATGGTCAAACCAAAGGGTTCTCCTCCCTCCGCCCATCTTGCCGCGCTTGCCTACGCGAGAAGAGTACAGCAGTCTCGTATTCCCTCAAAAGTGTAAGGACGAACTAGTAGGACAGCGCTTTCCACTACCAGTAACGGAAGCGAGAAAGCTCGCTTTCGCCGGGATTTCGAACCCGTGACCCTGGGCACTATAATAGAAGTTTGCGAGGTTGCCAGCTAGACTACCGGGAAGACCGGACGAGGCTGCGGTTCTTCTTTCGTCGTCTGTCTTCGCCGGCCTACCTCCTTGACCGGCGACTAGACCAACCGCTGAACCAACTACCATACCACCCCCCTACCGTAGGTGACGTAAGATATCACACCCCCTGGATGGATTTCCACAGCTTGATCACTCCACGACGAAGAGGATGTATAAACCTCCAACCATAGTACGTTCTCGGAGAGCTCTCGACGAGACGGTTCCAGCGCTGCTTTTTTCGGCGCCGCCGCTCCTTCTGCTGCGGAGAATCAAAATCAAGCTTCGAAATCAGTCCAATGGATATGGTATATTAGGTCACCTACCGTAAACCACCCAACAGATCGCTCACTGCGACGAGCTAAACCGATCGTAATTTTGTAAACTACAGCAGCAGTAGACCCTACAAACCCTTGCTCTACGCTCTTTTTGTGTGCGTGTAGATAAGTGTGTGTGTGTTTTTTTTATTTTTAGCATCGACCGCGTCAACCGGCTGACCATGCAGAGACGTCAGTTTCAGTGCTGTTGAACTCACGAACAATGCATGTTTTTGTTTCGTCAGACACCTAATGCGGCTCCTTCGTGTGTGCCTGTAAATGTGTGTGTGTGACGTTGTCAGAAACATAATGTTGCTCTAAGCTCTTCATGCATGTCTGTAAATGTGTGCTTGTTTATTTCGTGTCAAGTCACCTAATGTGGCCGACTTCCGAAGAGGGCTGGCCGCGGTGCTGGCGGAATCTGCGCCGAAGGGCGAGTTCGACGTTGAGGAGCCCACCTTGCTAGCCGAGGCGACGATCGTTCCAGAGGACTTCGAAGGAGAAGCGGTACGTGTTCTTCCTATTTCATTTAATTTCACCCTCCCACACACATTCATATGCAACGAAGTAAGCACAAGGTGCCCTACACCCGAAGCAGGATTCAGCGCACCGTTCACGCGACTCGCCGAATACCTCACGGCGCTTCGCGCTTGGTGATGTGAGAGCCTGCTCCTGTGCGAACCCGGCGAGCTCCGTCCCGGCTTTGTAGGGATGTGAGGTCATCGGTCTAGCGACTACGGCATGCACGGCTATGAGTATGAGTATGAGTATCTTCCCCTCCCCCTGTTATTTTTTACATTCTGCGAGCCCGCCGTCAGAGGGCCCCGTGATTCACGCGCTGCCTGATGCACTGCTGCTGTAGTGGCTTGTTTGGGTTTTATGTTGTGCGTTTGTCGAAAATGAGTTCTTGTACCAGGCACCGTAGCAGAGAAATGGTGAATATTTGCCCATATTTCTGCATGTATGCATCGGGGGGGGGGAAAGGGTACAACTCAGAGCCGGCATGCCGTGCATTAGTCGTTAGACTATCTACCTCGTGCCGCATATAGGGTTGGAATATGTCACCATGACATTAGTCATCTTTTCGTTCCAAGGGGAGGACGGACCACCAACACATGTTTTTCTTGTGGATTTTTCGAACGTGTTTCTTTGCTTCGGCCCGAGCGCAGGGCGTTAAGGCTGCGGCTGCCAGCAGGATGTCAGCCCTCAAGGAGCTAATGGAGACCGCCGGACTTTCTCTGGAACAGGGCGCAGAGGTTGTCGCCGACGTCGTGAACGCTATGGTCGTCAAGTGAGCTTGCTTGTTGGCGCTAGGAATAGGGTGCAGGTGTCAATGAATCCTCGTTGAATCATTTCGGTAGGGTACAGGTGTCAATGGATCGACGTGAAGTGCTACCCATTGTGGGAGAAGCTTTTGACCGTGAATGGCCTCAAAAGTTCTGTGTTGCCAGCAGTGCAAGAAACCATTTGGCTACAAAGCAGATGTCGATAGCTCAATAGCTCTACTCTACCCCATGAGGTTAAGCTGGTTGTTTGGTAATAAAAAGACAGACAACCGGTGCAAATTCCACGGTAAGGTCTAGTGAAGTCTTGCAGCACGTCAAACCGCAAAGTACCGTATATGACGTAAGATAACACACCCCCTGGACCAATTTTCACAGCTCGATTACTCCACGACGAAGAGGATGTCTAAACGAAACGATACATTTTCGGAAAGCTCTCGACGAGACGTTTCAACGCCGCCGTTTTCGGCGCTGTGACTGTTCCTGCAGTTGAGAAATCGAGATTAGAAAATTGGTCCAGGGGGTTGTCATCTTGTGTCATACACGGTACATTCGTCCAATGAAAAAGGATCTATTTCTTTTCATGTCCACGCGAGGTCAAGCCTGGTGGCAGTAGATAGCAAACAACGTGTGTGTGTGTGTGTGTGTGTAGCCGTTCAGCGCGCGGGCAGACGCATAGGTAGGTGGGCCATCGGTTGTCAGGAAAAAGGTCGATTGCTCCCGACACGTGCGAGGGAAGAACGCTCTCTCTCACGACGACAATGTGATAGATCTTTCCGAAACCACCCCCTTTTGCTTCGGAATAGAAATTGACAACCGGCCTCTTGGTTTCGGAGACGTTTTTTTTTTTGCGTTATTTTAGTCTCTTGGTTGCGGAGACATGGAGCTCAAAGTAATCGATGGCGCACCTGACTTCTCTGTGTGTTCGCCCCGTGCTTTTTTACGGCACGTCCCTGTGTGCAACGGTAGAGAGCGCGTTCATGAATTTCTGGTGGTGCTGCCTCCCGTGCAACTCTCCTCATTTGTTGTTTTGTTTTTCGACAGGCTGACAGACGCGGCAGTGAGCCCCCTCCTTTTTATCGTTTTGTTCGCCAGGCTGACAGATGCAGCCGTGAGCAGCAAAGGATGCCGCGGCAATATCCCCCCGCGCTCTTACGGCACATCGCTGTGTGTCTAGAACATCTTCATGATTGTTTGTTGGTCCCGTGTCTCCGGTGCGACTCTCCTCGTTTCGTTTTCTGTCGTCAGGCTGACAGATGCAGCAGTGAGCAGCAAGGGCGTGGATAGCACGGCAGCAGCCTCGAACGCTCTTCTCAAGTACATGGACGGTACGCCCGGTATCCTTGTGTGCCTTTATTTTTTTTAGTATATCACAAAACAATAAACCCATCTTTGTCCGTTTGATAAGGGTCTTTTTTGCATTTGTTCGACTTCTTTTCGTTCGCTTGTAGGTCGGGTCGTGTACGGTGCCTTTTTCTATGTTTGTCCCAGCAATGTACGGGCGATTTTTTTATTTTGTACAGGAGCGCAACCCTCGCCAATGGGGAAATCGGATATATCGTAAATGACACAAGATAACACACCCCCTGGACCGATCTTCAAACCTCGATTTATCAACAACAGAAAGAGTCACGGCGCCGAAAACGGCGGCGTTGGAACCGTCTCGTCGAAAACTTTCCAAAAATGTGTCGTTTCGTTTATGCATCCTCTTCGTCGCGGAGTAATCGAGCTTTGAAAATCGGTCCAGGGGGTGTGCTATTTTGTGTCATATACGGTATACCGATAACCCCTTCCCTCACTGCTTGAGACCCCCTCCCCGCTAGTGCTCATCGCAGTGCTCACCTGGTGGTTGGGGTTGATGTTTTCGATTATATTGTTTTGGGTTGCTGTCGATGGTAACTTTGTCGTTGACATCATCATCATCATCATCATCATCTCGGGATTGTAATGGTGATCGTAACGGAGCTGGTGCTGCTGTTGATGTCGATGATATTGTTCTTGATGATGGATTACAGCTCACATGGCGCTTTCGCTGGTGTTGTTGTTTCTGTTGTCATTGCCAGTGTTCTTGACGATTTGATGGCCACACTCACATCTACTGTTGCTGCTGTTGCCGGTGTTGATGCCAATGGTGTTATTCTTGTTGTTGTTGGTGGCGGTGGTCCGCAGAGGCGGGAGCCCTGTTCGTGACCCTGTGCCCGGGCATCGCCCTCGACCCCCAGATCAAGTACAACGGCACCTACAAGAGAGGGAAGCTGGAGAAAGTATTCGAGGCGGCCGCTAAGAGCACCCTCAAGTCCATGGGGGACGAAGGCCAGATGATGTCTTTGGACAGACTACAGGTGGGGGGGATGGAACCTCATAGCCGTGCATGCCGTAGTCGTTAGACCATTGTTGACCTCGCCTTCCTACAAAATCTCGTGTGTGTTTGGGGGGGTTTACCCACAGTCGTGCATGCCGCAGTCGTCAGACCGTTGACCTTGCATCCCCGCAAAGGCCTGTGTGCGGGGGGTACTCATATGAACGCATGCCGTAGTCGTTAGACCATTGATCTCGCATCCCTACAAAGGCCTGTTTGTGGGGGGTACTGATGTAAACGGATGTCGTAGTTAGACCGTTAACCTCAAATCCCTGCAAAGCCGGGACGGGGCGATATGCCAGGTTTTTACCGAGCCAGTCTCGCATGTCGCCAAGCGCGAAGCGCCGTGAGGAATTGGGCGAGTCGCATAGAGGCATCGCATGCGGGCAAATCAGAAACTGTGATGGCGACAGGCGTAGAGTGTTGCCGGAGATATGCTTTGTTTGTTTTGTTTCTTCTGGTGTTGTAGTTTTGCCTTCGGTGATTTCTCCATTTTGGGGGGGGTGCCGTGGTGGACGCGCGTGTTTTGTGTTGATTGTGAGTGTGCGGGTGTGTTTTTTTCCCGTGTATTCGCAGGACCTGTGTTCGATCAACAAGGTTTCATTTTGAAATGGGTGTGTATGTTTTTTTTAATTTCCATCAGTAAGACCCAACGAATCCATCTCTATCAAAAATCGAGTCCAATGTAGATTAGCAATGAATCCATATCGTCAGCGAAGGCTACCCGTGTTTCCACGATTCGCCGAGCAGCACACAGCGATTTTTATTTATTTTTTTATTTTCGCAGGAGCTGTGTTCGACCAAGAGTTTTGTTTTGAAGGGTGGTTTTGTGTTCCCTGTCCTTTCTGTTTTGTTCCGTTGTTGTATTTTCGCAGGACCTGTTTTCGATCAAGAAGTCCAAGGCGGACAGCATCACCCAGAAGATCATGATGGACCTCATGATGAAAATGATGTCGGAGGTAAACGCTTGAAATTTAAGAAAACGTTTGGTTTCGTGGCTTTTTTTTTAAACAACAGTGACGGTCTAGATACACCATGCCGTGACAGCGCACTATTGAGAGTTGGGGAGTATGTAGCTTTTGGCGTGGTAGTCGAAGCCAGTGACGAGCGCTTGTACCGCATGGTATCGGGCCCCCCCTGCTCCGGACCGCGGGAGGGCGGTATATCTGGTAAAAAGCTGACGCCATCGTGCACGCCGTTGTTGTTGAGCGACCTGCTGGTGAAGCTGCATTCGAGGGCAAGCTCGATAGGTCTTGCTATAACTGCCCGCCCCGCCCCCGCCAGTCGTGGTTCCCCCCGCTCTTCTGTCGTTATCATGAAATGGTTTTCATCGGTGATATCATATTTGTTTTCTTTGGCCTGCGCTCGGAATCGTGCGACCTTGCCTCCCCCAAGTACATGAAGCACGAAGAATTTAACAACGAGGAATATCGTACATGACACAAGATAACACACCCTCTGGACCGATTTTCAGAGCTCGATTACTCCGCGACGAAGAGGATGAATAAACGAAACGATGCATTTTTGGAACAGCTCTCGACCAGACGGTTCCAACGCCGCCGTTTTCGGCGCCGTGACTCTTTCTGCTGTCAAGAAATCGAGATTTGAAAATCGGTCCAGGGGGTGTGTTATCTTGTGTCATACATGGTAATGTGGTATTTTAAATCTCGTTTTCTATTTTTCCGCGTGATTTTTTTTGTTGCTCTTTGGTCTACAGAGACGGGGTGAAGGCGGCTTCGTTTGGTGTGTATGAACACACGGAGAGTGTCGTTCTCTAGGGAGAAAGTACCCGTTTTTTTTTCCCTCGTTCAGTTTTTTTTTTTTTTCCTTTGGTCTTGTAGGGAGGTGGTGAAGACGGCGACGCAGAGGGTCTCGAGAAGATGATGGCCGCAATGGGCGGGATGGAGGGGATGGGAGGGATGCCCGGGATGGGAGCGGGCCGAAGCCCAGAAGACCACAAGAGAGAGGTGGAAGCTCTCAAGCAGGTGAGCTTGCATGCACATTCCGGAGGGGGGAGAAAGTCGAAAGTTACCACCAACGAATGACTGAAAAACATCGACCCATTCCGGGAGCATTGGCAGCCTTTGAGCGTTCGTATTCGGCAACGGTGTTGCACACATTGTACACAAACAATATCACTATAGTTACAGCCCAGAGCCAAATGTAGGCGGATGCACACGCACGATAGCAAGTGTACAAGTGTACGTCCAAGCGTGCCCCTCCCTCCACCCCGTGCTCTCTGTAAGGGGATGACGGCCATTCGTAGAAATGGGTACCCCCCCCCCCCCCCCCCCCCCCCCCCCCCCCCCCCCCCCCCCCC